TTCTAGGACAGGGATGCCAGAGACTTCACTTCAGTCACGCAGTCTTGCCTCATGTCCTCATTACCATCCCTGTAGTACTTTCCTTCAGGGTTCCAACATTAATCTTCCTAAACCCTGTTCTTCAGCCACACCCAACTCATTGTACTTGAACAGCTTTCCAGACCCAGCCCATCCCTATAGACTGCTGCACTGATACATGGGACTCCTCACCACCCTGCTCAGTTTTCCCAGACATGCAAACTTGTTTTCTACAACTCTCTTTTCTTATTTGCAACTCAGCTAACATGCTGATCTGATTTAAGCCTTGTGTATTTAAAAGTCTCAAAGGTGATTCACTGAAATGGTAATGCATCTTACAAATTTACAGGTAATTTTAATTTTCTTGACCATAATGTTGATCAAGAAACATTTGTGTTTTCCAACTCATATAGAATAAACATAAATTCCATGCTCAGAAAAAATAATGTATTTTATATAATACAGCCATAGACAGCAGTTTTCAGGGAGACAGGAGAGTGCAAGGTTGCTTTTCTTGAACATAGAATTGTCCCCAGATATCCCTCAGACCTCCCCTTTGGTGACTCCGTCACCTGTCACAAATTAGTATTTCAAATTACTTTAGTCACAGATACTTTCTTCAAACAATAATAAGGAGAAGTACAATACGTTTCTATCATATACTACACGTTCTTCCTCAACGGTTGAACTGCACTAATTGAAATGGAGATGCAGAATCTGGACACTCCCCCCACCCAACAACTAACTCAGCATCCCATCGAAAGACAATTCCCCAGGTGTTTCTGGGCCTCTCTCATTCTTGAGAGCATAGTTGCCTACTGAAATCATTGGTTAGCATCATTCTAGAAACTAGAACACCTTCATATTTCCAGCATTGCTCAGATAAAAACTGTCCAGTTGCCACATATTATATAAGTTAGTTATTTTCTTTAGTTGCCTGAAAATTTTCTACTTAATCTTTTTCACATCCAAAACCAATACATATGACTAATCCATCATACAACTGAGTATTTCTGTCTAGCCAAGAAAGTTTTATTATCTGACAGGTTGCTTTCAGTTCACAAAGAAAAGGAAGATTTTTGTTTGTTTATTCTTCTCTCTGAATTCCCTAGTTTCTGCTCGGAGGTTAAAAAAACCCCAGTGCCCTTTTCTCATCCATCAAGCTGATGGATGGAATATTTGTAACTTCTGAATCACAGTCTGAAATCTTCTCTCTTAACTTCTGTGAGTTTCGGTTTAACTGGTTCTTTATCTCATATTACTTTCTTCTCTGCCTCATTTGCTAACAATTTTCCTTTGGCACTTGGTATTCTGTCTCTGATCTTCTGCTTTCCTCTTGCTTCACTCTCCAGACAACTAATCCATTTCTAGGGTTCAATGATCACTGCATTGAAGATGGTGCTCAAATCAGTGAGTGCCTTTAGCCTTTCATATAGAATCACTTTAGCCCCTATATGTAGTGTACCTCAAGCTCATTTTATTGCTTCAGAGACAGTGTGCACACCTCCCGAATCATGTCATCACCACTGTTTCCTACCCACACAGGGAAATATGAAGAAAAGTCAGAAATAAGAATCTATTTTGTATGGTTTCCATCATACACTGTTCAGAAGCAGGCAGAAATTATCTCTACTGCGTGAAGTTCGGGTAACAGTTATCGTCAAGAGAAGGTAGCAATTGGAAGCTGCCAATTTGGGTTTCTGGAGAGCAAGTAATATTCTGTTTCTTGAGCTGGCTTGTATTTAGAGGAGAAAATTCATTCTTCAAGCTATGATGTGATTTTAAGTTTTTTAAATCAACCTTTGATAAAAAAAGAGAGATATTTTTGATGATTAAATGACTAAAGCAAAAGATGAAGATTCTCTAGGATTTTAGATAGGTAAAACATCTTAAGTCTCATAGTATCCAGTATAGGATATGGAGAAATAGGGACATTATCAGCAGCAGTGCCATTTAGTATGTGCTGTAAAGTTGGAAATGTGTGCAGCTTGCAACTGGACAGTTCTGCTTCCAGACACATACCCTACGGAAACTCTTTCAGGTGTGCAGAGGAGATGTGGGCAATAATCTCTACAAGATAGCTTGTAACAGCAAAACAAGAAAAAATTAGAACAACCTAAATGTCCAACAACAGGGGAAAGGATAACTACATATGTGGTATTTTTATACAGTGTAATATTAAATAGTTAAAAGGAATATATATATATATATACACACACACATTACATTAAAAAGTAAAAATACAAAAAAATTGTATGAACTAGTCAAACTTCCAGTAAAATACAATTTATCATAACTTACAAAAGGAGAAATTGAAAGTGTGACTAGCCATGTATATATATATGAATATGTATATATTCAAGCTGTATATTTATATACAAATATATATATGTATACATATTAGCAGAACTCTAAAAATGCTGTTGTGGATGAAAAGGCAAGTTACAGAATATGCATAGCACAACACATATACACATTTTCAAAGTATAAAACTACCTCTATGATTCTTTGACATATGTCACTATTTTTTCATGACTGAAGAAAATACTGGACGCTGAGATGGTGACAGCAGCAGCCTCAGGAGAGTGGATGAGGGACTGGCACTGAGGATGGGGACAAAGGAAACTGTCGTTCCATCTTCATTGTCCTATTTCTTTTACTTTAAAAATAAAGCAGATGTAACAAAGCAGATGTTAACATCTGCTTTTTTATGGGTGATGGCTCACAGGGTATTAGTTACATTATTCTTTTTAATTTTCTCTTTGCTGAACTTCTCAAAATGGAAAATAATTAAGTTGAGACAACAGCTTCTTTCATCATTTAGTCCTAGAATTATTTATTGTTTAGGTATTTTATTTAAGAAAAAATGTACATAAATATACTCTTTGCTTTAAGAAAAAATGTATATAAATAAAAGTAGTAGCTGAGCTAGCTAAAATTCCTTTTTATGTTCACAAGGCATACTTGTTTTATTTAACATTCCCTGGTATGAAAATGTGGCCTTCATATAGATGTGTGAGGAGTAAATTATATACTGTTCTACCAGTCTGTGTATTAAGAAATGTACTTTCTAAGATAGATGTCCTCGTGTTTGTCTATCCCTAGAAGCATCCATTTATTCTTTTTTTTTTTTTTTTAGCATCCATTTATTCTTGAGCCACATTTTCCAAGCAAATAGAAAAGCAAGAAGTGAAAAGGATTTGCTCTTTGGCACTAATGATGTGTTGGTTCGTGAATGTTAAGACTGAAGGTCTGAAGTCACTAATGTTTATTGGCTCAGTCTCCAGTGTTACTCTCTAGGGTCACTTCCACAAAATAGACAAAAGACTGGGACAATCACCTTTTCCACCACCGACAGAGCTTGCTGCATTGAATCCTGAGCAGCAGGGGAGTCCTTCTCTGGTAGAGAGGAGGGTGCTCTCAAAGTCCTTTGTAGCAGGATGGAGGACAGATGGGCTGGCCCCATGATAGAGAGTGCACCCAGTGGGACTGCTGTGACCAGATTTGAAAAGTTAATAAAGTTTGGACTTGAAACAACTAAATTTTTATGGTTATGCCCTGGGTAAGGGTATGAGTGAGGAACACAGTTAAGAGTGAGGTGGGGGACCTCTGTATCTTGATCTCACAAACTCACCCAGGTTTTTACCTATTGTGGAACTGGAAGTAGAACTGTCCAGTTGCAAGTTGCACACATTTCCAACTTTACAACACATCTTTACACCTATTTACTCCTTGCCACAGGCAGGCAAAGGAAAGAGTTATCCAAAAGAAAGAAGTGAGCATCCTCAACTCAGACCTCTGGTCTGATTTTGAGGTTAGCCTGTTGCCAAGATCTGTGAAAGCACTGGTCTTCTCTCGGGCCAATGCTCTGAGGGAGCCCACTGTGTGTCCAGCAAGATCAGTGATGCATGGTTAAGGCTTTCTAAGTCAATGGGCAGTTATTGACAGGGCCTTTCTACCACAGATCTGAAGCTGTTATCGCCAGTCAACTTTATCAGTAAAAAAAGCAAATATTTTTGGCCCCATCTGTTTGGCTTCCTCCTGTTTCCAAACTCAGAAAGGGATGAGGAGGCAGATATTATTAATTATTCCCCTCAAAAACTTCATGATCTATAGTTAATAAAACTGTGTGGCATATCTGAAAGTTATTACGAGTAGATCTTAAAAGTTCTCATCACAAGAAAAAAATCTTTGTAATTTTGTGTAGTGATGGGTGTTAATTGTGATGAGTGGTGATTGTTTCACAATAGATACAAAAATGTCCAATCATTATGTTGTGTGCTGAAGAGGATATAATGTTATATGTTAATTATATCTCAATAAAAGAAACCTCATGATCAATTAATGTAAGACCTCAAGATGATCCATCAGTGTCACCCATGTTGCCAATCAGTAACTTGTCTACTAAGTTTGAATCACAAATGGACTTGATAACCCATAGTTATCCTGACTAAAGAGTTAAATGCACATTGCTCACTTTTAGACCGCATAAGTGTGGTTAAAAAAATAAATATACATACTATTTATCATGGCATGCTTGAACTCTCATAACTTGCGATAGACTCCATTAAACGTACATTTAATTTATTACATTATCTACATAGGTATAAGCATACACAGAAAAAGTATTTATTTAAATCCATCATTTTACAACAAAAACAAAAACCCCACTCTGCTGTACCAGAACACTGCTCTACATATGGCCAGCTGCACGTTGGCAGAACACAGTGATTTTAGGGATGAATTAGTGTTCTAATCTCTTTGGGATTTCCTTTATATTTCTGGTGGTTTATGACTGACATTTAATATAACTATAGCTTTCTGTTTATATTTAATGGAAGATTCATTTCTGAGGCAGCATACACATTTACACTCTACCGTTGAATAAAAGCTACTGTTCTGCAGGAAGGATATAAAATGTTGATTTATAATGACACATTCCAGTAACAGTGATCTAATTCTTCCAAACTACTTCTTCCTAGGTCCTGGGAACAGCATGGCTCTAGCAAAGGATGATTCTTCTCTTCCAGAATATTCAGCCTTCAACACATCTGTCCATGCTGCAATAAGACACAGAAACTGGAAACTCCTCACAGGTTTCCCAGGTAGAGCTCAGAGCATTTCTTCCCCAGAAGATAACGGAAATTTTTACTAAAATAGCAACCACCTTTTATAAAACATATCTCTGACTGCTGAATGAGTCAACTAAATGAGGAAGAGTGGTGTAATCTACTAATGCTGACAAGAATTTAAATTTAAATTAAAAAAAAGAGTTACCTGGGGAGCAGATAAGCACTTTAATGTTTCTTGGAAAATAGGGATTTCAGATGTGAATGGCAGTCAAACCCAGCACACCTGACTAGCAAGGAGAACCTCTGAAAGCTACATCCTGAACCAATGGTATAGCTGGGGGAAGAGGTTGCTCTCCCTGATCATGTTGTCTAAAAGTGACACCTTTTAAATACTTTTAAAATACGTGGTATAGTGATTAAGGCTGTGGTACAACTGAGCAGTGTTTATAATGAGGCCATGTGTGACAAGACAATGCAGTGTTTGGGCCACCCCATGTAGGGCAAGACATTTTAGCATCCTGGCTCCTGACCACTAAGTGCCAGTAGCACCCTCCCCAAAGTTACTGTGACAACCCCTCACCACACACACACACACACACACACATGCATTCACACACCTGGATGTCCATGGTTGTGAAGCAGTGAGACGTATCTAGTTACAGCACCAGAAATCAGAGTCAGAGAGACCGAGACGCAACTCAAGGGCCACATCTCTTTCATGTGTCCATGACCACAGTGCGGCTCGGCCATGGTCCCTGAACTCCCTTCAAGTTACACACAGCCTACCATGCCTCTCCCCCAATAAACTGTTCTATTTCTTCATCAGGCTGTGGTCACTGGTTCCCTCCACCATCTCAACACAACGTTTCTGAGATAACCTCCTCAGACCCACCGACCAAGACCCTTTGGCTCTTTGATATTGATCAGGACCCAGAAGAAAGACATGACCTGTCGAGAGACTATCCCCATGTTGTCAAGCAGCTCCTGTCTCGCCTGCAGTTCTACCACAAACACTCGGTGCCTGTGCACTTCCCGGCACAGGACCCCCGCTGTGACCCCAAAAGCACGGGTGCTTGGGGCCCTTGGATGTAGGAGTTTGGGCAGCTCAGGGGGCCGGTGGGGGGCAAGAAAACCTTTCTGTTGCAAGCTGGACCTCAGTCCTTCACTCCTGTGAGTCTTGTTAATTTTCTCCCAATCTGGGTTCACCTGACCCTTATTCTAAACCACACTGAGGTGTCTCATTTCAACCCCTAGTGCATTTAAGAACCTGGTAAAATCTGAAACACTCCACTTATGGCTGGGGCATGTGTGCCGAGGAGAGGTGGGCTGGTTCACCACTCTGCTGAGCTGTGGGACAGCTGGGAACTGCACTTGACCTGGGAAGTCCTCATTGAGTCCTGGAGGCTGGAGCAGCTGGCTCTTTTTGTCTCACACGTCAGATGTTAGATTTCCTTCTGCCAATAGCTGGTTTTTATTGGAATGACTTGCATTTTTTGTAACAAATGAAGAGAGCAGACAGTTGTTAATGGTTCTCTTAGCCAGGGGTCCTCCCTGTCTGTGCAGGTTCCCGTGCAGGCGTCCCGTGTGAGTGACACCCCCTCAGTTCACCCTCGTCACTCATCTTGTCACGGAGCATAAGGCCCCTTTCTTGTTAAGATCAGCATGGCAGTATGCCTATTTCTTGGTTTTGGTTTTTATAATGAAATGTATTTTTATCCCAAGTTTTTTTCCCCAGCCATTTCTCATTATGCTACCCCCAGCTTCCCTGCAGTTATTTTCCTCCCCTTCCTTTTGACTCAGGTGCCCTGTGCCTAGGAGGGCTGCTTGGCCCGTCCATCTGAGCACCACTGATCTGGAGGCACTGCTGGGGCTGCCTTCCTTTTGCTCCTAATGCTGAAGCCAGAGGCCTGCCCAGAGGAGGTGATGGCTCTGTGAGCAGGTTCATGGTGCACATGAAGAGAGCTAGGTGGGGGCACTTGGACATGTCTCAGCTGTTTGGTGAGGTTTTTTTTTTCTAGTTGCATAGAGTTTATTGTCATGAATGTGTGACTTTGTCTCATAATATATTGAGTTGCACTGCTGTTCGCTAGCAATGAGGAGAAACAAAATTAACACCTGATAATTTTGTCCCAAAATGAGGGAAGAGGGAAATTTGAAGGGATAGGGCCAGAATGTGGGATACTGGGCATTGGTAAGTCAAAGGAGAGTTCATCCACATTTCTCTTAATCTCTCAGTGTTACTGCTGCATTGAACTTGTGGGATTGGGGAAAGTGGATGCACAGTTTGACCTTCCAGCCCTTTCTCAGTGCCTCTAATGATGTACTAATATGAATCAGTTCAGATTAGCTCCAAAGAATGTCAAATTCAGAGAAAAATGTGCAAGAATGACACCTTTTTGCATTAGCTCCACTTTTTCATTGGCCTGTGTAAGGGGCAGGACAGGACACAGTGCAGGTTTTCTGATCCCATGCAGACCGGGTAAAGGAGGAGTCAGAGTCCTCAGTAGTTTTGCAAGTTTTTTATTGGGGTTCACCAGGCATATGGCAGGCAGGGGTGCTGGCTGGGGGGCTGGGAGGCTGACAGGCCTCTCAGCCCCCAGCAAGTCTTCACTCTAGCTGGGCTCTCTGGCGTTCGTTCTGCTGCTTCTTGGCTTCTGCTTCTGCTGCTGCTGCTGCTGGCGTCCCCGTGACGCCGCCCTTAAAAGCACAGTCTTAGCTCAGCTGAATCCCATCTACCTATGCCCACACCCTATTCCAGGTGCCCGCCATCAGGCATGCATTCAGGACAAGGATCCATCATCTATCCTGATGGCGGAAGGGCAGAAAAGCCTGACATTTTCTTTACCCTACAGCCTGCTTATCCACAATGCCTAACTCAGTACCTGCTACAGAGAAGTCGCTTGGTATACTTTTTTAAGTAAATGAATGAATTGGCAGATGAATAAATGAAAAGGCCTCACACCATGAAAGACGCTAGTCCAATGAGCTGAATACTGTGATAATATGTCTCTTCCTACCACTGCTTTTCTGTTCTCAAGCGGAAGCACAGACTACATATCAGGGCAGTAATAGGACACTCTGGGGTGAAGTTGTGATGTCTTCTCTGGATGAGGGCCAGGGAGAAATATACTAACCGTAGATACTGTTTTGCTAATAATCCTCAGTTCTATTTTTCATAGAACACTAGAACCTAAAACCACCAAGTAAGATGATATAGCCAGCCCTTCAATTTAGCAGCACTATTTTCTGGTCACTACTAACTTTCATTAAAATAAGATGATTGGAAGGAAATGGTGCTAGAACTAGAAACACCTGTTAACTTACCTTTACCCCATTCCTGGGTTGGCAAACCACTGGCCAAAATGCCATCGTCTCTCATGCCCAAGCCTGTGGTAGATATATGAACTGAGTGCACATGTTCCTTCTGGTTCCTTCCAATCCCACGGCTGTGAGATTGTAGGTAAACCATCACTACATGACACCTCTTTGCTCTCTCTGCTGGACTCCCAGTAACTGTCCCCAATTCTAATTCCTTGATTGCCATCTTCAATGTAAATGTTCTGCACTAAATGGGTTTAAAAAGAGTTTTAAAGAGTAAATTTTTGTGAAACTTTTGAGATTTCATTTTATCCATAATAGAAGTATCTCACTAGATTTTCTTATTCTGTACTGGAATGTGAGCAGGTGCACGTATTGTCATGAGAAGAATTAAGTTGTTCTTTTCTGAATTTGTTTACCTTTAAAGAAGGTGTTATTTGTTTAATTATGAGATAGTTTTTCTTCATTACTACATGAGTGTTACATATTTGGAGGACCAAAAAAATTTAAATTTTCTTTTAAATTGTGTCAGCCATGAGTATGGGGTTTCCACTTGGGGTGAGCAAAAGTTCTAGAAATATATAGCGGTGATGGTTGTACAAGATCATGATGCACTTAATGTCCCTGAGTTGTACCTTTTAAAATGATTAAAATGGTAACTTATGTCATATGGTTTTTGCCACAACTTTTGAAATGTGTCAGCCAAATTTATAGTAAATGACTCATAGCTCAATAAAGCTATTTAATGAATATTACAAACATATCAGAGCTAAAATAATGTGTTAGTCATTATCCTCAAAATACAAATTATAAACTAAAATACTGGAGAAATGTCAGGAGTGAATATAAAGTGATAATAAAAGAGTATATTAGTTCCCTATTGCTGCATAACAATTTACCCGCAAAATCTAGCAGCTTAAAACAATAAGCACTCACTATTCCACACATTACATGAAATTATTCCACACATTATATCAAAACTTTATGAAAGTAGTTTAGCTGTGGTGCTCAGGATTTAAGAGATTGTGATCAAGCAATTGGCCAGGGCTGCAGTCATCTGAAGGCTTGATTGGAGTTGGAGGATCCACTTCCAGAATGACTTACTCACAAGGCTCTTGGCTGAAGGTCTCAGTTCCTTGCCCACTGGGACCCTCCAGAGCTGCTCGAATGTCTCACACATGGCAGATAACTTCCAACAGAGCAAGTAATTCAGAGAGAGCAAAAGGGAGCTACAGTGACCTTTCTGACCTGCTTTCCAAAGTTTTACACTTCCTTAAAGACAAGTCAGAAAATCCAGACCATAGGCTAGGGGAATAGCATCAGCCCCACCTTTTGAACAGAGTGTCAGGTTTGTGGGGACTTAATTGTCCAATCAAGTCCACATGCATTTATTAAATGCTGTGATTGGAAGAGAGAGTAGAAAAAAGCATCTAACTGCTATTTACAATGACCATGAACAAATCATGCAACCCTCCCTCTGCCACAGTTATTTTTCCTTGTGAAGTAATTGATTGAAATAGATAAGCCCTAAATTCTGTTATCTCCCTAGTGTCCAAAACAGTGCCTGACACATGCAACATAGTCAATAAATGTTGATTGACTCTCAACAGAATGAATGCCAATGCAACAATGTTAAATAATGTGTAAAATGTAGTCTGTGTTGGGCTCCATCCTAAAAAAGCACTCATTTTCTAAAATTATTATAACAAAAACTAATTTTTGAGGATTCATTTATGCCAGGCATTGTTTAAAATGGCAAATTTTGTGTCATATGTGTATATATGTATATATGTATATGTAATGTACATGATAACAACATGCATAAACAATTGTATCAGGGAAATTCTTAATCAGGAAGTTCAGAGACAAGTAAAAACCAGCAGAAAGAATGGGTGGGCAGGCTCCGGGTCCTCTAACCTACTCTAACCAAAGTAGCTGCCCTTGTATTTCTTTTATAGATTGGTGTTCCATGTAAGACAATTGTTTAATGGTGATAGAAGTTGACATAGTATTTTTGTTGGGGGAAAAGGACATTGCCTATAGCAGGACATGTTGAAGCCTTGGGTAGTCCAGAGAATCCTCTGAATCTTGATCTGAGTCATCTTTACTTGCTGTGCCCAAATGCAAAAATTTACTGAATACTCAAGTTATTCACTTTACAGTTTATATTATACCTGACTACAGAGTACTTTACAACAAACAAACAAAACACTTGCCCTTAGAGCAAAAGAGCACCACATGTTTCTCTCACATATTCTCAGCATGTGCTTCTTGTCGGACAGGCACGTAAATAAAAACATTTTCAATGCTGCGAGGAAAGTCACTGTTAGAAGAAACCTTTTTGTGAATCCTTTTGTAAACACAATTGTAGGTTTTTATATTTGACAAAACCTGAATACACGTGTAGCATCCGCAAGGCATGGAGCAGGTTCTCTGTTGATTCAGACACATGGGCAAAGGAGGAATCCTGGAGCCCTCCGTGGCTTTTTCAGGCTTTTAGTGATCTTTCTACACCATTTGTAGTGAAGCCACCAGGTACAGGCAGACAGAGATGCCTGGGGGCCGGGAGGCTGGCAGACTTCCCAGCCCCCTGCAAATCTTTACTCTTTCTGGGCTCTCAAGCATTCTCTCAATATCTCTTTGCTGGTCTCTACTGCTCTCTGCCACATGGTCCTCCGCCTCCCGTCCTCTGTGACGCCGCCCTTGTATGCTCAGCCTCCAGGCTCAGGGGTGCCCACTCACGCACGCCCACACCACATTCCAGGTGCCGCCATCAGGCACACGTGTAAGACCACAGGTGTCCATCATTGATGCTAATGGTGGGAGGGCGGAAAAAACCTGATAACTTCCATTTACCCTACAACACAAATTTCATTTTCCTAAATTGAGATTTTGCTACCCAAGTTTGTCTGAGTGTGACGGATTTACACCCAGGTGTTAGTGCTGGGGGCGGTACGTAGAGACCAAGAAATGGTATGGGAAACAGGCTTGCCTCCCCCTCCCCCTGCCCCCATAACCCCAGGAGGTTTACAGTCAAATTCTGTACTAGTGGAACCAAGTTTTTTCCAGCTTTCAAGAACATTCCAGACAATACTAAATATATTGAAGTATTTATTATCCTTCCCAGCTGCCACTTAAACGTTAAGATCTATTTTTGTCCAAGTAAAGAATAGACGTAGTTTGTGTAAATGGCTTATTTCCAGGCTATTGAAAGGCCAGCCTGCTCACCTGGTCTTCACCCTTCCTCATCACCGGGAGCAGGTAGGTGGCAACAGCATATAGGTACCTGCCCCATCTTTGTCACCTTTGCTCTGTTGCCATGGAAGCCACCCACTATATAGCACAAAGCAGAGGAGGAACGCAGTGACTCACTGTGCCTGGGGTCTGACTTCCAGGGACTGTCAGGAAATTGGAAAGGTAATTTCATCCTCAGACACAGTCACTCGAATAACCAGTCGTTGAGCTTAAGTTATTTCATGTCATAACCCTTATTACTTTTCTGACAGTAGAGATAATGCATACCACTGTAACAATTACAGCAAATACAAAAACCACATAAAATTAAACACTCCAGAGGCCAGCCTCATAGAGATAGCTACCACCATTAACCTTTGTTTATACCCCTCACAGAGTAATTAAGTGGCCCACTTCCCAGATTGCTTTTCAAGTCTCATTGTACCCAGCTGAACCCTCATGGTGACGGTGGATGGTAGATAAATAAAATGACACAGCTTTTGGAAATCTTCATTTGAATCCCATTAAGGTAGAGGTGGTCTCAGGAGGGGCCTGCTTTCTCTCCCCCACTCACATGCTCCTCCCTGGGCCTCCAGAAGGGAGGGGGCAGAGGGGGCCAGGTGTGATAAATCAAGCCAGCAAGTCTGCAGCCGCCTCAGTCCACGCCAGACTCTTACAGAGTAGGCTACGGACATCACCACATGCATCCCTCCTCTCCTCAGGTAAGCCATTAAATAGACTGTACTGTGCTTTTATTTACATTAAATGAGTCAAAGTTGAATTTTCCCTGTTGCCAGCATGTTGTAGCTAAGACCATTCCAGTCCACACTGTGATAAGCGTAAAGGGAAAGGCTGGGGGGCACTGAGGGTGGCACGGGAGGAGGGTGCCTGGGACAGACCCCCTTCCTTGATGCTTACCTTCCTCAGACCACAAACATGAGGCCCACCAGTCAGGAAGAGAGGGTTCAGGGTCAGCGTGGGAAAGTAGAGGGGGGTCATGGTCAGAGAAACGACACCTCAATGCCTGGCAAGGGAATTCATTTGACCCTACATTTTGCTTGTCTTTTTACATCCATGGAAGCAGTTTCTCTGTGAACTATTTTTTAAATTTAATTGATGGATCCTCTGTTATGGGAACAACTGTTTTGTATGAAATATTACTTGTTAGGGCGTCACAAGAAGATGGCTTATTTTCTTGGTTCTTAGGTCAGAGATTGAGTGTTTGGGTTTAAGACATAGAAGCATGAGCAGAAATATGTGGCCCCCATATCCAGGGCTTTGGGAGAAGGCACCCCCTCAGCGGGACTTACACCCTCAGTGTTTTCCCAGCAAGCATAGGGCAGGTTCTTATCAATTTGGGGTAGATGGATAGAGGGTCCTGGAGCCCTCAGTGGCTTTTTTAGACTTTAATTATCTTTCTGTGCCAATTGTGGGGTAAGCTTGCAGGCTGGCAAGGCAGGGAGCCTGGGATGCCAGAGGCTAACAGGCTTCCTGGCCCCCAGACCTCCAATAAATCTTTATGCTTTTCTTTCTCTGGGCTCTCTCAGCGCTCTCTCATGGTCTCTTCTGCTCACAGCCATTCTCCACCATAGCTGCTTTTGTCTGAGTGACACCTCCCTTATAGCCTCAGCGACTGCGTTCAGGTGTGCCCACTCACGCACGCCCACACCACACTCCAGGTGTCCGCCATGAGGCACGTGTGCCCCGCACCCACGCTCCCATGCGCCTCCTGCATTCAAGGCACAGGGGATAGTCGCAGAGGCTAATTGGCGTAAAAGCCTGAGCATCTCATTTACCCTACACTCAGGTACGGAAGGAGGTCCACGGCCACTCCTTCTTCCTAAAAAGCATCTGGAGTTCCCTGGGCAGCCAGAACCAGGAGGACAGGCACCTCGGCAACCCCCACAGCTCTAACTTCTGTGGCTCACATTGGCGCTTGGGAGTCAACATGGTGCTTCTTTTTTAAATACTCACTTTACTAGAACAAATGATCCAAACAGATGCTTCTTTATCACCATTGTAAAGGATGGTTCGTTCGTATCATTGCTAATCATAAAAATAAATGCAATTATTCAAATTGCTCTTACATTTGAACTACAAACTGTTCCTGGGCTGGAAGGAAAGAAAACTAAAGAGGAGCTTTTCCACTAAATGATTCCATGTCCCCGTGCCAGGGCTGTGACCGGGTAGCACGGACCAGGTTTCTCATATGCCCCAGGCTGACAGGCGGTTCTGGATGACACTCCATGGTGGCTGGTGAGCTACCGTCCCTTCCGCATGCCATTTCCTCTGAGAAGAATCACAGCTGCACTTTTCTTCTAACAGTTTGTTTTGCTCGTGTGTCTGGAGAGCCTGAAGCAAGAGAAGCATTCTAAACGAGTTAAGTGTATAAACACAAGAGGAAACCAGCATACACATCCTCTGCGTACTGTGGAAACATCACAGAGGGTCCGACCGAAGAAAGAAGCCAAGAAAGTCAATAAACAAGTTGGGGGAGATGCAACATACAGAGATGAGATGTTTGGAAGAAATAACTCAAACACTGAGAGGAGGACAAGGGAAACAACATGGAAGTTTTTGGGGTTAAGAAGTTCCCTGAGCTTGACTTATAATCTAGGGCTGCTGGATCATAAAGCTGCCCTCCACCCCTCCCCCCAAAAGATTCCAAGTCACCTACGAATTGCTGCTGCTCTGCCTGTCCCCCAGCACCCATCTCCGCTGTGCCCATGTGAGCCTCTGGTCAATTCACCACCGCCACTTTGATCATGTAAATTACCCCATCAGTGCATGATGTAGTGCTAGCCGTAGGGGCGAGGCAGGGACTATCCTTTATTGAGCACGTACATTTGACTTTTACAATGACTACTAAATGCCTCACAATCATGTCTAATCTTCAGGTAAATGATTCTGCCTCTTGGGAATTATATGAAGTCAGACTGCTGGTAGAGGTGCAGCTGCAGCCCAGATGGCTCGTAAAAAATGTCCACTCTCTACTATGCCCCCCGCCACCTCCAGTCCCTGGCTTCCTCGTCTTCCCTTTGCGCTGTGCCTTTAAAGACAGGAGCGTGTATGTGTAGGAAATCTTGTTCTCACAACTGAGGACTCGGGGAGCCTCTGGTGAGTGAGATTCAAAACTAGAGTTTAAGAATCAACAATTGGCAGAGGGCCTGGGATGAGTGGGGGCAGGGCAGTCAATGAGGAGTTTCAGTGCAACAGTTTAGCCAAGTAATAATGACAACTAATGAGGTATAAAAGTAGCAGGATAAAAAGATAATTGGAGGCTTAGAGAAAAGAAAAAAAAAAAATTGAGGACTTGGAATTGCTCAGCTTGGAAAGGAAGTTTATAATGTTTTGCATGTATTTCACAGGAAAATCACCTTCCCACAGGTCTGAGAGGCTAGTGATTGATCATCTCCGCCTTCATCCCAGCCCAAACAGCCAACTGCACAAGGCTGAAGAGAGGCGAGACTGCAGGTGGGTTCTTAAAGCTCACTGCAGCTTCTGTTGACTTGCTTGAAAATGAAGTTTAATGTTGTGCCTTATTCTATGAGCAGTTGGTATCAACCAGTCTTTAATCTTTACGACAATCAGGTGCCATCTGGCTGAATTCTGGAGGAAGTGGTGGTTCCTGCTAGCAACCACAGCTGCATTCTTATATATAAAGTCAATAGGGCCTCCCCTACCTACTGTGTTTAGGACTCAGATGAAGAATTTTACAAACATTTCGGGTACATAGATTATTTCTTGAAGTTCTTTTTGTACTGATTTATCTTTGGGGATTGCCATAAAGGAAAGTACCGCAGAGGTTAGCTTTTATATGTGGACTTTCTTATAAGAACATTGATTTGTGAGGGTCTCTCCCTAAATGTTAAAGTTCAGATATGTTTTCGTTTAAAACATTACATGAATTAGAGTTCCCTGTTGGAGAAATGCTTTGGTTTCTATAGTTAAACATTATTGCCTTAAGTAAAACGTTAAATGGCTGAACCATAGTAATTATGCCCACAACTCCTGTTACTGGTTGGGAAGAAAAAAAATGCCACAGACAGAAATTCTGAGGGTTTCTGTCCCTGAAGGCAGGACCTGTGCTGGTTGTGCAGGAGAGCTGGGCTGCAGGGGTTGGGGGTGGCTCAGCTGGCTTTGAGGCTGAATCATCCAGTAAGAGCCCGTGCTAACCCTCCTAGCTACCAAGAGGAAGCAAGCCCAGGTGTAG